GGCCTTCAAAATGAAACCACAAAAGCGAAATAAACAAAAAAAAAAAAAAAAAAAAAAAAAAAAAAAAAAAAAAAGAACATCGTCGACGAGGGTTCGGTCTCATTAACTTCCCTTGTCAATGTCCAATCCATCAGTGAATGGCCTGTCATCCAACAGACCAAAAAAAAAAAGCCAAAGAAAAAACTGAATCAGTACATTTCTGTGTCTGAGACCGTGCTCACACTAGGACTCTCCCGGATGTATCTGGCCCCAATCTGGGTGCAATTACGGCCAAACATGAACGTATCTGACCGCCATTACGGCCAGCGCTGAAAAGGAATGGCCCTACCCAAATATAACGCTTGGTCGTTGCAGCCATATTTGGGGCAACTTTAAGTCCAGACACTGTGATAATGACTGGCGTCCTATTCAGGTGAGGACGGTAGTGTGAGTATGTGTGGAGTCTATTTTGCTGTATTTTTCTGTGTGTAACCTGCTGATGATATTACCATGCCGTGTGCGTGCCTGAGTCTGACAGCCTCACTCCGCCACTCAACATTAGATATGTATCTGAAAAGCAATACGGACCAGATACATTCGCGCCTGTCAAATGTTTTGAATGTATTGGGACAAGTGCAGGTCAACATACAATTTGAATGTTGTGCAGTGGACCAAGTCTATGTCCCCGTGCTACCTCTGTTTTCCATGCCGGGTTTCTGTGCCTCGGACAGGGGTAGGGTTGCAAATACGTGTAGTCAAAGGGACAGACCTGAAATTTGGCTTTTGTGTGCTGGGTTTCTGTGCCTCGGAGAGGGTCAGTCGAAGGGAAAGACCTGGAATTCGGCTTTCCATTTTGGGTTTCTGTGCCTCAGACAGAGGTAGGGTTGCAAATACGTGTAATCTAAGGGACCTCAAATTTGGCTTCTGTGCCTCAGACAGAGGTAGCGTCGCAAATACATGTAGTTACAGGGACAGACCTGAAATTTGGCTACACATAGGACTTACCGGAAATTCTAGAAGGCTTGGGGTAGAAGTAGAATTTCTTACGGCTGCGATAGGATTCTCCAGCAACTTGGGGAGACCCAGGAAGGTCCCATAGGCTTAAAAAAGTCTGGTAGCTTCCAAAGAGATCATGATGATCCAGGGCTGAATAGTACATAGATATCAGGTTAGATTCAGGCACTGACGGAGGATTGCAGACTGCAGTGGTGTTCCCGCCAAAAGGCAGGAACTTCCCGCAGGCCTGAGATTTCCCAGAAAGTGACCCCTAAATTAAAATATAAAAAAAAACGCATGTCCAAGTTTTGAATTTCCAAAATCGCACATCCCCCTCTGATCTAATCTTCTTCACCTTTTTCGCCCAAAGGATTAGTTATCAAAGAATGAATGTTCCTAGTCCATTTGGCCGCCTTGTACACATATGCAACCATTAAGAAACAGGTCAAGAGTTCAAATCCACTTTCCCATACAACAATGTTGCGGGCTACCTCCGTCTGAAAACAGAAAACAAATTAAAAAAACAAAAGGGATTACAAAAAGTTAAAAACCAATGGATAAGCCTACAAACAGAGTTTTCTCTTTGTGTTGTCATCATCCTTGCACAAGGGCCAGGCTTATCCTTCCATTTTTAACGGATGTCCCTGTCTCTTATACACATCTAGATGTGTATAAGAGACAGGGCTTGTTCTTGCCTGTTTTTCACACGGCGAGTT